CCCCAAAACCCCAAAACCCCAAAACCCCAAAACCCCAAAACCCCAAAACCCCAACTCTTAGGTGAATTATTGAAAAGACGTATTTTGAGTTTTATTACTCAAATCCTTTTAGAATCACTTTTCCTTCGCTTGCATGATCTATTGAATATTTAAGAGCCTCTTCAACATCATCGAGGCTAAAAGCTTTGAGTACGTTCGATGCATATATTGAGTCGTCTGATCAAATATCTTCAACGATAGTCCTCTTTCATTCATCTTTTTGTTCTTTGGTAAGGTTAAATAACCACTCAAACATTGTTAAATAAGTTATTGTTAACTTTGAAAATATAAATACACTTGGGGAAAAGCTAATGTCTTTATCCTCTAAGCTTCCCCATAATACTACAGTAGACGAAGGAGGCATTTTGAACATAACCTTCTCTACTAGTTTGCCTCCAACAGCAGCAAAGTAAATGGCTGGCTTGAGTTCTCTCATGTATGAGTTTAGGTCCAAGTCAAAATCATAAGCAGATGAATCGAGGACGTATTCAGCACCTTCATTCATTAAAATTTCAACTTGCTCTTCTCTTCGAACAATGTTTATAACTTTAATCCCAAGTCTGGTGAGCTGTCTAGACACCATTTTTCCAAGAGAAGAGCAAGCTGCATCTTGTACAACACATTTAGCATCTTTCTTCTTGATGAAATCAAGCATCGCAAGTCAAGCAAAAGGGTTTATAAAAGTTGAACACATCTTATCATAATCTGCATCGTCGGGATAAACTGCTCAATCCTGAAAATCACAGTATAAGTATTGTCTCCAGCTGCCTTGGTAATTAACTGTGAAAGGGTTTCCAAGAGTGGCTACCTTTTTGCCAATATTTTTCTGGTCAACATCTTGGCCAGCATCTACAATCTCTCCTGCACCTTCAAACCCGACTCCTTTATACTCGCCTTTAGCTCCAAAACTAAAGAAGCCTGAGACAATGTATCTGTCATTAGGATTAATAGGCATTGAGTGCATTTTAACAAGAACTTCACGAGGTTTCAAATCTCTGAATTCTTTCTCAATAACTTGCATTTTGGTGTGATCAGTAACAACTGCTTTGAAAGTCCTTGGCTCCATTATCCCTTTAATATTTATTGAACTATAAAATATGCATCAATTTATCCCTGAAGTTGAGGGGTTTTGGGGTTTTGGGGTTTTGGGGTTTTGGGG